CCCCACACATTGTTATCTAAGTGGAGTTTAACTATAGTTTGAGACATATAATTAAAAATACCGAAATAATTCTAGGCCAGTTGTCCATGTTCTTTTTTCTTCCATGAACTCTAGGGGGTATTGATACATACCTGAATGCGAAGGATTCCAGCATTGCTCGAATCATGTGTTCTTTTTTTGTGGTTGGTTTTAGACCCATAAATGCACAACAGGCACTGTCGTCGTTCACTGGCGCCTGTCAAGTGTGAAATAAACCAATTTGTTACAATTGGTTACAATACTATATCATGAAGAGTAACAACAATGTTCAATTACAGCAACATACAAAGGTGTTTAACTTACTTGAATTCCACTAAATCCAGGCACAAAACAAGTACCATTGGAGTTGTCAACAGAATTGGCGAGTTTAGACGTATCTCCTATGTTGTCATACAATCCTGTAAAAAAAAAATCGTTGAATGGTCAATCATAAGACGGCCACTATTCTTGGGAGCAGGGTTATGTCACTGCTGCTTGCTGCTATGACGCGCACCACTGTATAATGTACTTACACAGACTCTGCGCGAGCTGCTGTGGAATGCCGGTTGAAGAACCGTTGAAAACAGCTAAAGTCGAGAAAATAGCAGAAACAACCAAATTTATGTCGGGGTAATCTCGTTACACTGTTCAGGGGAGTCTCAACAACTATCCCAAAGTACAGTTTTTTGAGAATTTTCGACCTCTGTTTTCCATGAGTTGTGGTTGTCAGGCTGTGAAAATGCCTGGATGTTCGCTCACGATAATACCCATTACAAGATCGAAAATGATTTTCATAAGAGACTGAATAATGTAGAATCATGAGTAGGAGCAACAAGCAACTAGCATCTGTTTACTATGCTATAGCATGACAGTTTTCATAAAAAACAGTAGTCCAGTTGCGTTACCTATTTTTTGCCCCCAAATCTACTGAAGTGCCAGTATCTGCAGAGTTACCCTCACACATGAAAACGATTTCATCTTTGATTTTCCAACACACTAGCGAGTACAAACCTGCAAAAGAATTATAATACAAGGAAGTCATTGGAGATGGCAGATCCTCTGGCATTATTTTTGAGGTGTGGGTGGAGGTCACTGTTCCAACTGGAGGACTGTGATATACCAGCAACTGTAACCAAGGTAACTAGATCAAGCTAATAGTAGTGCACATCTCAATTGGGGAAGTACCCCCCCCCCCCCCCCCCCGGTACTAGAACAACATGGCAACATAACATCACATTCCGTAAGGAGAAGTATTGGATCAGTACAAGCCATTTTTGTCAGTCATCGCATATAGACATTGGTAACCACTATATCCCAACCAGCACTACCTGGGATAAAATTATTATCAAAAAAGCAGAATTTATGACCCACTGCTTTTAGAGTTTGCCACCAGTCACTGTCATCAGTGACATGTTTGAAAATTAAAATGAAAGAGCACTACACAACTATGCTCAATTTGATGACACACATTCTGCGCATTCATTTTATACTCAAGTTAGAGAAAGGCCACACTGCACACTGGGGGGGGGGGGGGGGGTTATTCTGTCTCTTATGTGTTTCTGCACACTGACTTGTTGATGACCACACTGAAATGCTTAAAGAATTTGTGACTCACATGACCCACAAGTCATCAGGAATACCCTGTACCAAATTATTCATAAAAAAAGAGGGTTATTCAGTTTATGAAACAGGACATGCAATGAAGGACCAAATTCAAAATCATGTGAAATGTGATATAATCACACAAAAAAACAAGGCAAACTCACGTTTCCTGAAATACTGGCGCAAATTCTGTTAAAGTACTTAAAGTGTTTGTTTCAAGCTGTTTTGCAAGTGTCCATGATTATTCAAAAAACAAGTATTGCTATTAGCGTTCTCCCCAGAATAATTGTATACAGAATCAATTTGCATAACAATGAATATGTTAGAACATGTATATAATGACTTCTATTGTTATGCTAAAATGGCACTATTGTTTATCCAAAATTTAACAGTTGGAAACTCCTACTCTATAATGCCCTAGGGAGAACCCTGACTAGTATAAGCATTTTGATTTTATTAAATAAAATGATATTCTCGCTAATTTATATTTACACAATCAATCAAATCTTCCACTGAATTGTGTGATATAATTTGATTGGTGAGCACACAGGATGGGATAATATCACCACTAGTTGCATACACTTATCTTCTAAATCCCTGTCTGTACCTGTTTTGGATGCTGTCGGATGTCTACCAACATTAATATCCATAAATGTACCGGTACCCATTGTACATTTAACATCACCTCTCTCAAAACAACATTCACCAAACATAGCACTCTGTTGATCAGCAACCTACAAAACATAGTGAAAACATTTCAGCCTTTCCCACAGAAAATATTAGCATTGTTAAAAATAATATTCACCACATACAGCACTAACAGTGAATTTCATGAAGGGATGAATCTTTTTTTAGATATGATGTTTGTTGTGACTAGCATGAATGGGTAAGCTTCGTTTCGACAATGAGCTGTTATCATTGTAAACAATGTTAAATTATTCTTCAAATGCTCAGTTTATCTTTTGAAAACAACTAATTTTTTATCTAAAAAAAATCATGCCGTTTTTCCATCAAAATCCAATCCAAAAGATTGTATTACAACATCGACAAATCTCCTCGGTGTTGCGTTCAATGACATTAACATATTTAAATGAGCTATGGTAATTTGAACATGTTGGCATCAATCATCCATCATTTTGATTGGTTAATTAGCGATTTCACCTATCAGGTCAAATAACACCCTCTTAGTTTTTAGTGCAGGTAGAGAATCGCCATCTTACATGAAGAAAATAGAAGTCACATACAAAATATTTGATGATCATTTTTGGAAATTTTGAACACCAAATAAGGGCCCACCAGCCGTGAAAAATCACCCAGGGGTGATTTTTGGATGGGCCAATTTACGGCAAAATCCGGTACATTCGAGAAATACAAAACGTAATTGTAATATACTGGTTGATAATAATATTTGAACATGCAAGAATAAAAGTTGTTTGATTTATTAGAACCACAAGAAAATAGTTACTACAACAGACATTTTACACCTTTTCTTCAATCTATGATTGTGAAAACATAGTGAAAACATTTAAACCTTACTTCCAGGTCTGTCCTTCCACTCTTGATGTCAAATTGCAGTTGCGTATGCACAACAAAATTACAGAATG